TAGTAACATGTTAGGAAAGATACTTTAATAAAGACAAATTGATGCAATAGCTTCCTTCCTAGACTGCTCCACCATTTATTCTACATTTAAAAAATATTTCAATATTTGCTAGGTCTCATAGCTATTGCATTTGTCTTTAGGGGTGGTTTGAGTGCTAATAAAAGGTTGTGAGACAAATATTCCATAAACTGTTCATTATTATAGTTTTTAAAATTCTGTTGGGTGAATTTCGAAGGAGATCAACTTGCCTTTGTTGCTGATTCGCTATTTTGAACAGTTTCTTCTCTTAAGAAATTTAGAGTATTGCAACTAAGGGTCTGGTGTGTAGGGTATACATTTGAAAAGTAATCAGAAACAGCTGAACATAACTTTGACACAAACAAATAATTCCACTGATAAGCAGGTATACTATAAAATATTAGAACAACAGTAAAAGATGATTTATAGAAAAGGAACTGTTAAAAGCTGTTTATTTACTCTTCAATCAATTATTTCATTCTGACCATTATTCTGGTGTAAAAGTAATCAAATACATGTCATTATTTATATAATTATATAAGTACAACTGAAAAGAAGAGTTAGAGCCATTTATGGCAAAAAAAAAGACACCCAAAAGTTTAATGACATAATAAAATGTTACTAAGTTTGAATTATTAGAAGATATAATATCTTGAGTTAAAAATAATTGAAAATATAATTACATGCATGAATAATATTTAGAACTAGGCCATCAAGATAGTCCCTATTTATGTACCTTCAGTAGTGAGAATGATTTCTTTGTAACTCATTAGTGATTAAGACCAAATGTTAGAATTGTTTAAATAGGGATACAGGTGGACCCATTGTAACAATGAGATGTACAAGTTGTTATGTCGAAAACAAACTTTACAACTTTGGTGCGGAGGGAGGGGGGGACCGCAGAGGATTGGGGGGGGGTAGGATGATGAGAAGGGATGGGAAGGGGAAACAAAGGAGGAGGCTGCAATGCTTGATAAGAAATGTACTCATTATCTTGCCCATGTAATTGTAACCCCTCTGTACAGTATTTTCACAATAAAAAA